AGAGAGAGAGATCCTATCAATATAAAGTGAATGAGTTTTATCACAAGGTGCTTGATGGATCACATTCAGCAGTTGTGCAAGCTGCCAGTTAAAGTGGTTGGTGCGCGCGTGCGTGCGTATAGGTGGGCGCTCGTGCGAAGTTGTCTTCTATCGATTACGGAGAGAACAGGTGTAGCGTGTGTCTTTGTATGAATAATGCAGGGAGAGACTTTGTGCACGCACTTCGCTGAGACCAATACACACAAACAACGCGGAGAAATAGGCCTCTTCTTATAGGACATATTCATACTGTAAACTTTTTTTTCTTAATCTCGTTAACATCAAAAGCTCCATTACTGTTGGATATATCTTTAACCTGTTTCCTCCGCACTGATGTGTTATTGTAGATCACCTGCAGCTAGTTCTCCCGTGTTTTCATTATTATTGTAAGAGCAGCAAAATCTATCCTCTTAAAGAGTTCCTGTTGTTGCAGTGTGGGTATTTGTTTCTTTACCACAATGACCCAGTATTAAGAAAGTAAGGAAAAAACATATTAATGCATCTTATAAAACAATTCGGCAAAAAAAAAGAAAAAATCTAAATAAAGTTCTATACACTCGATTGGTTACTTTACTGTCATTCAAATCTCCAAATCCCGCCCTTATCCCTCACCCTCCTCTGCCCCAGTCGCTGTTAGCCCCCCTTCTCCTCCTCTTCCTCCTCCTACCTCTGCCGGCTGGTGGAAGCTTCAGACCTCCTCTTCTGTCCTCTCCTCACTCCATCCCACGGACGAGTGTACACAGACTCTCAAGTTGAACCCAGACGCGCACACACAAGACAACACTTACAGCAAGAGGACCATAGTCGGAGAAAAGGTAGAGAGGGAAAAGAAAGGAGAGCGGACGGAGCTGCTGCCGAGCGAGCAAAATTTGGATTTTAATTTATTAAGCGAGCCCTAAATGACAGAGTTGTCTTTGCTTTTTACTGTTTCAAAGTCCACTGTGAAGTGCACTTTTTTTCGGGACTTCGTGTGACCCTCTGGTAATTTTTGAAAAACTTTGCAAGAAACAAAACTGCGGCAAAGGCAAAGAGAACAGCGCTTTAACCGTCAGCTTTAACCGTCCCGTATGGATAAATAAGGCAGAGAAGCGCACTGGTGGAGAAAAGCTCACTACGGGGAATTTCATTCATTCATCGGTTCTGGCTTGAAGGAGAGAGAGTTTTTTGGGGGGAGGCGGATTAAAACAGAAGCCAGCTTGCACCGGAATTGCCCATTGGGGGGTTCCTCTTTATTACTGACTGAAGAAGGATTTATAGTTTACTCCAAATCTAATCTGCTCGGTGTCTTAGGTCAAGCACAGCGGGAGCGCAGTTTGGTGAAAATGAGATTGATGGCACCAATGCGATAGTAATCTTTCTGTGGGAACAAAAGGAGAAAGAAATATAGAAATTAAAATATTGCCCTTTGAATCCTTATTGCGAACAGTCGCGGGGTTTTTATCGACTGGAGGGATGGAGACGATCGGGAGAAAGGGAGGCGCGCCGTTGGGGTGTCGCCTCTGGAAGACGCTGCTTCTTCTTCTGCTGTGGAAAGGTAAGAAATGGAAGTGCGAACAAAAACTTGTTGCCAGCTTTACTTACTGTTATTTCATTGTTCTGGACTGGAAAACGGAATTTCCCGCTCGCTATTATTTATCTAGATATTTCATTTGGTGTCATCTTAGAAATGCGACATTATAGGCAAAACGGATAACTTTTTGTAGTATTTACAACAAAGGCATACATTATAATTGTATTTATATGAACTCTTTTTGTTAAAATGTTTCCCAGGGCGATTAAATACCCTGAAGACTGTTAGAAATTGAACTATAACAGTGAGGTGAAGTGAAACCAAACACAAAACTTAGTTACCCAGCTTTCTATCCTGCAAGGAAACAATATTAATAATAACTTAAGTGTCTTAGAAGTGTCACACTGGACCAAGTTAAAGTAATTCACACCATTTATGCTTTTTTACTGAGATGGTAACCAACGACAGGGGGTTATAGCAACATCACGATACTTGCCTAAAAATTCCAAGAAAAGGCAATTTCTCGTCTCCTAAATAACAACCGAATAGCCAGTATTCACCTTGACGCTTCATGTATCCGCGCATGTGTGTAGAATAATAAGTAATTGAGTCCAAGCTCAAATGACAGATGCATTCTAACTGGTGCCACCTGAGACACGCGAACCCTGGCTAGTTGCTGACTTGCTCATGTGCCAGTTTGAGTTCTCTGAGAGGAAAGACTGAGTGTTTCCTGGACAAAACTATACTTGCTTTTCTATACTGGGGGGGCGGGCTGGATCAGCACTGACTGTTTGCAAACATTTTCTGCTGCACACTTGAAACAAGCTCTAGAGGTTGTCCCTTGTTTAAAAAAAGAAAAGAAAAAAGATCTAAAGGATTTTTAATGACACGAAGTCCCTCAAACGGAAAGAAAATCAACCCTTTTGCTTCTTTTAAAATGTACTCGAGTGTCGACGAACAGAGAAAACTAGTAATTGCCTTACTCGCCTATGTTAATTGAAGTTAAAATAAGCTATAATAAGATTCTGTCTTTGTCGGGAATTGGACACATTAAGAAAGAAGAGAGCGGTTAATATCTCCATTACCCAGTTAAGTGAATAACTGACTTATTTGCAGAACTCTTTAAAGCCCCTTTTTATAAATCTGACCTGACTCATAAAAACCACGACACTCCAGTTTAACTGGTCTTATAAGATCAACTGAATCCACATCGGGGGGTTCTTATCCACAGCGCCCGAAGTGCGCAAAGGATTTTCACTCTCGTGCTCAAGAGCACTTGTAAAATAGAGCTGAGATATTATTAATTTAGCTCAGGTAACACCACCTGACTCAGAAGAGGGGGAAAAAAAGGCAAGAAGCACAATCGGAACGAGGCTTTAGAATATTTTGCATTTAAAGCGTGGGCGCGATTTTACGCCTCCGTTTTAAAGACAAATGACAAATCATCGGCATTAGTATCACGTTTCCTGTGAGTGTCTTCTGTGTTTGTGCGCGCGGTCGTATCTGTGTGTTTTAATCAGCTCCGATCACTCACGGCTCACTTAGCAGTTAACAGTGACTGCGTTGTGCGCTCCCGAGCACGGTGGTCGTTGTGCTCGCGGCGCAAGGCGCACGGACTGGAGATGGCGAGCAGGGTCGACGCGCCGGAAAACAGCTGTGTCCCGCAAAACGGCTGAGTAACCAAACACTAAAATTATCCAAAACATTTCTCCCCTCTTCTCCTGTAACATTCTCACTTCTTCTCTTAGTGGAATGAAACGCAAAATAGTGCAGGGACATGGACGGTCTGTGACTTTTGTCTGACAGTACACATTGCTCTTTGACTGCTTTTTAGTACCAGCTTTTCTGGTTTGGATGGTCGTCAGTATTGCTCCCCCCTCTCTCCCTTTCTCTCTCACTCTCTCTGTACAGGTTAAGGTCCGCTGCAGCTCGGCTGTGGTTAAACAGTTTTCATTGGGCACATGGGGAAATCTGGCTCTAATCGTGTAATAACACACCTAAGGCTGTTTAAAAAGCAAAAGATTAACCTTGCCTTCACTCTATCTCTTTCTGCCAGTGCATTCTGCCGTTTCAGTACACAGTCAAAGTGGTTCCTTGGTGCAAGTGTTCCCTGTTCATTTGTTGCTACATTGGCTGTGTCAGCCTATGCTCGCATTTACAGTAGGTGTATGTCTGTGCCCTCCATTAGTCACATAGGCCCTGAGTCATCTGCATTTGTGTGTATGCCGCTGTCTGTCATACAGTAGCTGCAATCTGTAATACTTCACAATTTTCCACCTCCTCACTTCAGTCCCAGAATTAACAACTTTGAAAGACATTTTGTTCAGATGTGAGATAGTTTTGCTTTGTTCTAAGTATTACATGTCACATCACCTCCTAATTAGGGATATTTATTGTACCCCGATCTTCCAATATATCACCGTTTGTGTCACCCTTATGACTGGCATTTCTATTTTCATGTCACTCAGTTTCACTGTAATTACATCATTGTGGTATTTCATCATCCAGGTCATCTCTAGGATGACATTGTAGGTTTGTTCAAACACCAAGGATCTGACAAGTGCCAGTTCAGAGGCAAACAGTTTGTTCTGGAAGATTCAGAGGCTGAAAAGTCACTGGGGGTAATGTCTCAGGTCTGTAATCTTAGCAGGAGGTCATGGGTGGGTGGTTTAGAAGACGTACACCCTCTCATGCAGTGAGATTTGGCTGATAGTTTCTTTTTTGGTACATAGTTTGACATTTTTTAAAAGATTTAGCTGCAAAAGCGACTGACGCTTGCATATAGTTTCACTGAATTAGTTTATGGTTTGTCGTAACTGTTTGGCGTAAAACTGAAACAGCTATGACAGATGAGCTGAGAAAAAAATTCCACTCCTAGTACCACTTTCCTATGAAATAACAGAAATTACTCTTCCTATGCACCGTTCATGAGTTTGGGACGTCAAATCAAAAACTCCTTTAAAAAAATCCTTATAATTTGGTTTTGTCATCTATTCCTTACTGACTGATATTTGTACTAAAATAAGTTGACTGTAGATGTAATGTATCATACAAATGCACAATTATTATTACACCGAGTGTGTAACAGCCCCACACCAATAAAAATAAGAAGAATTTAATAATATTTATAAATATTTTAGTTGGTCTTTTTGAAACTCTTCAATATCAGTATATGCATAGGCCCTGGGTTATACTCTTGATGCGTATTGAAGGAATATGCTTGTTTCTAATTGCCAGACTGGGGCCATTTAAAAAGTGTAAATCAGGAAATCTCATCAGTCTCGCTCCACAGTTTCACAGACGTTAATGACAGTGAACTGCTCCTTTCCAGCATTAGTCGCTGGAATAGCTATGTGGCAGATTGTACTTTATTTGTCAAAGACGGGAGGGGTGGGTGCACTGTTCAGTATATATATGTGTGTGTACGTGTGTGTGTGTGTTTTGCCCAGTGTGTTTCACCCCATGTGCTTAAACGTGTTTCGCGCTACACCGTTAACCTGTAGCAGAGTGTCAGCACTACGCACCATTACTCATGGAATACGGAGCATCAATAATTACTGACATAAAATCACTGACACATACACACACCTACATGCACAAACACATTTGTTTTACTATCCCTATGGGAACTGTAATTCCCCAGCATTCCCTACTGCCTTAATTCCAACCCCAACCTAACCACAAGCTAAAACTACACCTTAAACCATTGAAACAGAACGGACCAGTCTGTCACAGAAGACACCAACACTGAGGTCCCCATAGTGACTCAGAGTCTGCATGGTTTGGTGTGCAGTCAGTGTAAAGACCTCACTTGGATATAAAAAAAAAACAGTCACGGGACTTCTCACCTTGGCCTTTCTATATGCCGCTTTCACTCCCTGGGTTCTTTGTGTCTCATTGTTGGTTTCATTCACCGACTGAATCATTCAGGCACGCACTCGCATCACTCTTTGCTGTGCACACAGAGCCACTGTCAAGCATATACAGCACATTCAAACACACCCGCACACAGAGGCTGCTTATTCTGTGAAAAATAAGCAACAGAGAAGATTGTAAATCAGACAAGGGGCATTTCAGAGATAGGAAATGTGAACTTGTAACATTTACTCACGAAAGCAAAAGGGGATACGTGGAAGGGAAAGAAAGCGTGAGATGTGAGTGCTACTCCTAAACGCCACATTGTTAGAAAATCATGCCACTTCAGTTTGAGCCTTTTTCACTTTGCCTCTCTGTCATACACATATGCACATGCTCATATAGCCTTTTTGTCGTGGTGAAAGTGAGAGGGTAGAGCACACAGGGGTGTATTCGATGGAGTGGACACGAGACACTCTCCACTGACTGCCTCCTTTTTCTCAGCATTCATGAGTTTAACTTTTTGGAGCTTTGTTTTTTTGGAGGCGTCTTGCATGCTACAGATTTACCGAATCACTGCAGGGCTGCTGGTGTCGTTCACTTGCCTGTCATCCGGAAAGTACAGAATCAGTCAATATAACAACGCATAGGATTTAATATATATATTTTTTGCACTAGCAGAAAAGATTGTAGGGCTGAACATTAATCAAATGGCAGTTTGTGAAGCTGCCGAAACTTCAGACATACCGGGTGAAGGTTTTATTAATTCACTGTTTTGTTCCTTGAGTTGTCAGCAAAGATGTGTCACTACTATCTACATTTTATTTTCACCTTCTATTAGTTGTGAATATTTCTTACAATATATTGGGCAAACAATATTCAACACCACATAAAAAAATAGACAGACTTCTGCCAGCTGGCAGGTTCAAGTGTTATTCGTCTTGTCATGTTTCCAGCATGAAACAAAAGCGAAAAGCTTAAGAATATTTGAATACTTGTTGCCCTTTAAGCTTATTTTTCTTTTCCTTTTTGAACCTGATTTTATCACCGTTCATTCGTATTGTGTTAATTATCCAAAGCCTAGAATGTTACTGAAGTGTGTAGGTTTGTTTTGTTTTCCTGTTTTCATCTTTATGCCTTTCACAAAAATCTTTCATGTGTTGGAGTTC